GTGCGCCCGAACCAGCCAAACAACAACAACAACAACAACAACAACAGCAGCAGCAACAACAACAACAATAACAATAACAAAAACAACAAGAACAATAACAATCAACAACAACAACAACAACAACAACATCAACAACAACAACAAAAACAACAACAACAACAACAACAACAACAACAAACAACAACAACAACAACAACAACAGCAACAACAACAACAACAACACCAGCACACCCACCACCACCAACAGCAGCGTTCCCGCCCCATTTGTCCTTTACTACTCGGGACCGGAGCTTTTGCTCGCCGCCGAAATCCGGTGTTCCCACAAAGCTGGCGCTCACGCTCGATACGTCTTTGTTCCCCATATCCTAAGATGGGGTTCTTGTTATTACTTGGACGCCTCCTACTCCTCCTCCTTCCTCCTCCTCTTTTCTCCTCCCCTCCTGTCGGACATACTCAGACTTGCTCATACACAGACTTACTCATACTCAGACTTACTCATACACAGACCTACTCATACTCAGACTTACTCACACTCAGACATACTCATATACAGACTTACTCATACACAGACTTACTCATACCCAGACGTACACATACACACACTTACTCATACACAAACTTACTCATACTCAGCACCCCTAAGGGGAGCCGCCAAGGGTGGTTGCACGGGCTCGTTCGCGGCCATTTTGCGGGGATGTCTCAGGCGGTTTGCCTGTTTCTGTGCCCAACATCCTTCGCTTTCGGAGCTGATTTGGAGGATGTCTCGAGCGAAGCGCTCATTTCAGCACCCCTAAGGGGAGCCGCCAGGGGTGGTTGCACGGGCTCGTTCGCGGCCATTTTGTGGGGATGTCTCAGGCGGTTTGCCTGTTTCTGTGCCCAACATCCTTCGCTTTCGGAGCAGATTTGGAGGATGTCTCGAGCGAGGCGTTCATTTCAGCACCCCTAAGGGGAGCCGCCAGGGGTGGTTGCACGGGCTCGTTCGCGGCCATTTTGTGGGGATGTCTCAGGCGGTTTGCCTGTTTCTGTGCCCAACATCCTTCGCTTTCGGAGCAGATTTGGAGGATGTCTCGAGCGAGGCGCTCATTTCAGCACCCCTAAGGGGAGCCGCCAGGGGTGGTTGCACGGGCTCGTTCGCGGCCATTTTGTGGGGATGTCTCAGGCGGTTTGCCTGTTTCTGTGCCCAACATCCTTCGCTTTCGGAGCAGATTTGGAGGATGCCTCGAGCGAGGCGCTCATTTCAGCACCCCTAAGGGGAGCCGCCAGGGGTGGTTGCACGGGCTCGTTCGCGGCCATTTTGTGGGGATGTCTCAGGCGGTTTGCTTGTTTCTGGCCCAACATCCTTCGCTTTCGGAGCAGATTTGGAGGATGTCTCGAGCGGGCGCTCATTTTCACCCCCCAGGTGGGCCAGATTTTGAGGATGTCTCGATCGGTTTGCTAGTTTTGGTGGCCAGGCTCGTGGGCGCAGATTCTTCTCAGGATGCCACAGGAGGCTCCAACAGGCTCCAGGAGGCTCCAGGAGACCACATGAGGTCCCAGGAGGCATCAGGAGGCCACAGAAAGACTCAAGAGGCTACAGGATGTCCCAAGAGGCTCCAGGAGGCCCCAGGAAGCTCCAGAAGGCCTCAGGAAACCACAGGAGACCCCAGGAGGCAACAGGAAGCGCCAGGAGGCCTCGGAAGGCAACAGGAGGCCCCGAGAGGCCCCAGGAGCAGGAGGCCTCAGAAGGCAACAGGAGTGGCTCCAATCCCATGTGTTTTACGTATGCTCCTATCGATTGGGCCTCACCTGGAGCACGATTCTTTGATGTTCTACGTATGTTTCTATAGATGGTCCTTCTCCTGTGTACACAATCCTAAATGTTTTACTCATGTTCCTATGTATTGGGCCTCTCCTGGGGCACGAGTCCTTGGTGTTTTACGCGTGTTCCTATAGATTGCCCTTCTCCTGTGGCTCTAATCCGCAATGTTTTATGTACGTCTGTTGCTATAGATTGCGCCTCCCCTGGGGCACGAAACCTTCCTAGGAGGTCCCAGGAGGTCCCAAGAGGCTCCTGGAGACCCCAGGAAGCCCCAGTAGGTTTCAGGAGGCCCCAGGAGGCCCCAGGCTCATGCACAGAGACGCGCTCGTACTACTGAGGCTCATTCACACTCCAATTCATTCGCAGTTAGATTGATGTCCAGACCGTCACAACTGAAGCCCGTTAATATTCGAAAGCTCCTGCGCCTAGACACTCACGGCGGACAGGTCCATGCGAGTAGATGCACATATGGGGAGCTCCACGCAGTGAATAGTTTTTTACTCAGGATCGGCGCCCCCGCCTCGGCGCGACAAGCGGCCCCCACTGCAAACTACAACGGCCCCGCTCGATACTTTCCGCCGCCTTTACTCAAGATCCCCTAGAGGTCCTGAGGCTGTCCTAATCCATGTTGAACCTGAACTGGGAAAAAATACTCTTGTGGGACACCTTACATCCGCATTGGCGCACGCGCCTCCGCGCCGGCTGCATTTACTTTAGAATCGAAGTTCACGCTCAAGCGTTCAAGGGTGCGCCAAAAATGGCCCCCAAACTGCAGCAGCAGCAGCAACAACAACAACAGCAACAGCAACAACAACAGCAGCGACCCCGTTCGATACTTCCTCCTTCTCTACTCGGGAACGGGGTTTGCGCTCGCCGCCGAGGCCAACTTTCCAACAAAACCAGCGCTCCCGCTCGATACTTCCTTGTTTTACTCATGACCCGCGCTGCCGCCTCGGCGCCGCAAAGACGCCCCCCCTGCAAACAACGACGCTCTCGCCCGATAGTTCCTCCACTGTTATTCAAGACTCCCAGAGGCCTCAGGGATTCCTCAATCCTTAATCCCTAGTGTCGACCCTCAAGAATGCAGCATGCACTGTCGGAAGTCTGCACCGGCGCCTCCCCGGCGCGCTCCGCGTGCCAGGGGCGGCCCGAGAGCCCGCGGCGGCGACCCCGTCGTTTTCGTCGTCGTCCTTTTTCTCCTCCTCCTCCTCCTCCTCCTGCCCTTTCTCCCCCTCCTCCTCATCCTCCTCCTCCATCCTCCTCCTTCCGCCTTTTCCTTCTCCTCCTCCTGCCCACTCCTCTTTTTTCTTCCTCGAGACCCTGAGGCTTCTCCGATCCAAGCCTTTTTCCAAAAATGACCTGAGGCCTCCTTCAAGATGCACCGAAATCCCTCCGTTCAGTTTTAAAGCGTTTCCGAAGTGCCCCGCGTTCCCCACAGGGGTTCTGAGGCTTCTCTGCAAAGCTCTGGGGGCTGTCCAAGGAGCTCCACATGCTGTCCAAGGGGCTCTGGAAGCACTGCCATAAGATGCGGGGCTCTCCCAAAAGGTTTCGGGCCTGTCGGGCGTGGCGACTGGTGATACCCAGAAGCAGAATATGGGCAGGGCGATTGCGAAGGCGATGTGCAATCTTGGCTGGAGATGCTGAAATGCCCTGGAAGAGGTGTTGTCAAGACCTCCCCGGGCGGGAGATCTGGGTAAGGGAATATCGGAATCCCCATGTGCAAGACCAGATCCCCAACGAGGGGGGAGCTATCATGACGGATGCATGCTGAATATCCGGCGGTGGACAAACCTCCCATGAGCAAACCACCCTTTAGTGAAAACGGCCTAGGACCGAAACCGACGGACCTGGACCCTCAAAAATGACGGCCGCGATGCCCTCTCGCGAACCGAAAACGACAAATTCGCTGATCGACATGTCAGGGTAGGAGGTCGATCAAGCTCCGTAATATAGAACCATAGAGCGAGCATTCGGGTAGAATGAGTGTTGCTGGTGTTGTTGTTGTCGTCGTCGGTGTTGTTATTAATCGCTTCGCTCATTCCGCCAGCCTACATTGCCTCGCCGCTGTCGTTTGTCGGGGTGCTGTTGTCGATGCGGTGCGGTTGGACGGCTGCCATTTTTCGGAGGCGGTGGGTGGCGGGTCAGAGGCCTCACGGATGTTGGTTGGGCTCTCGTGGTTGGCCCCTCAGGGGCCTTTGGGAAGCAGTTTTGAAGCCTCTTGGGGGCCGTGTTGGGGCCTCTTGGGGCCACTGAGGGGCCTCTTGGGACTTCTTGGTGTGCCTCTTGGGGGCCCCTTCTTGGGGCATCCTGGGGGCCTTGGGGCTGAAGGCTGGAATGTTTCGGTTCCTGGTCCCCTTCTTGGGCCCCTCTTGGGGCCGTTTTGGGGCTCTCTTGGGCCGTCTTGGGCGCCTCTTGGGCTGTCTTGGGGCCATCTTGGGCCGTTTGGGGGCCCTCTTGGGCCGTCTTGGAGCCCTCTTGGGCCCTCTTGGGCGCATCTTGGGGGCATGTTGGGCCATCTTGGGGCGATCTTGGGGGGCTCTTGGGCAGTCTTGGACGCTGTGAACCTCCGAGCGCTGTCGATGCCAGAAATGTACGTTACCCTAAGGAAATGGGGCAATGTTTGCTTGTTGGGGCCCTCTGGGTTGTTGTCGTCGGTGTTGTTATTGTTTGTGCTGTTGTCGTTGGTGGTAGTGGTGTTGTTAGTGTTGTTGTGTTTGTTTATATTGTTGTTGCTGTTGTTGTAGCCTGGGAGGACAACAACAAGGTTGACCAGGAATACGTTCGCAAAAAAACAGGGTGCGAGAGTCGAGGGAGGCATGTCAGTGTAAAAAACCGAATGAACACCGGCGAGGGGATCAATCGTATCATTCAAAAAACGTGTCCTGCCTCCTCCTCCTCCTCCTCCTCCTCATCCTCCTCCTGGTTTCCCGCCACCGCGAAGACAGCTCTCGGCGACAGCAAAAGGATTCGAACCCCTCTCCCATCCTCCCCTCCTCCTCCTCCTCCTCCTCCTCCTCCTCCTGCTCCTCCTCCTCCTCCTCCTCCTCCTCCTCCTCCTCTTTCTTCTTCTTTTTCTTCTTCTACTCCTTCTCCACCTCCTGCTCCCCGTCCTCCTCCTCCTCCTCCTCCTGCTCCTCTTGTTTCTCCTGCTCATGCCCCCCCTCCTCCTCCTCCTCTTCACTACCCATGTGGCGTTGGCCGCCCTGGATGGTGGGGAGGCGCACGTCGTCCTGCCGCAGCGGCGGATCGTAGGCCTGCCCATCCCTCTCTTCTGGGGCAGAGCGGGAGCGCCACCTCCTTCCCTCCTCATCATCGTCCTTACCTTCCCCCAACGCATCTCCTCGCCCTCCTTGTCACCCACCTCGTTTTCATTGTCATCCTCATCGTGCTCTCTGTGTCCTCGTCTTCCTCGTCTTCCTCGTCCTCATCCTCCTCCTCCTCCTCCTCCACCAACCTCATCCTCCTCCTCCTCCTCCTCCTGTTCATGTTCCTCCTCCTCATCCTCCTCTTCCTCCGCCTCTCCCTCCCCCTTCTATCACTCTTCGTCCTCCTCGTTCTCCTCGTCCTCCTCCTCAGCCTCCTCCTCCTCCTCCTCGTCCTCCTCCTCGTCCTCCTCCTCCTCCTCATCATCATCATCAGCAGAAGCAGCAACCAGAAACCGCAGCAACAACATCATTACCTTCGTCGCCATCAGCATCAGCATAATCCTCCTCATCATCTCCCTCCTCGGCACCTTATTCTTGATCATAACCATCACCAGCAACATCAGCATCATCATCAGCATCATCATAATCAGCATCAGCACCATCATCATCAGCAGCAGCATCAGCATCCGCATTGTCATCATATTCATCATCATCAGCAGCAGCATCAACATCAGCAGCAGCAGCATCGTCAACAACATCAGAATCAATGCAGTCCCCCGTGTCACCAGCAGCATGATTATCATCGTCAGCATCAGCAGCAACCTCGGCGTTAGCATCATCAATATCGTAATGCCCGTCAGCCTCATCAACAGCAGCAGCAATAGCACCAGCATCAACATCAGCATCAGCATGCTACGTATCAACAGCATCGTCATTAACAGTATCATCATCGTCGTCGTCATCATCATCATCATCATCATCATCATCATCATCTTCATCATCATCATCATCATAGCCATCATCAGCATTATCAGCAGCATAGTCTTCATCATCAGCATCATCATCAGCATCGCCATCATCATCAGCAGCAGCATGAGCAGCATCAGCATGATCATCATCATAATCATCGTCATCTTCATCAGCATCATCATCAGCATCGCCATCATCATCAGCATCGTCATCATCATCATCAGCATCAGCATCATCATCATCATCAGCAGCAGCATCATCATCAGCATCATCATCTTCATCATCAGCATCAGCATCATCATAATCAGCATAATCAGCAGCAGCAGCATCAAAAGCAGCAGCAGCAGCGATATCATCATCAGCATTACCAGTATCATCAGTATCATCCTCATCCTCATCACTGTTGCCATCGTATTCATCGTCATTGTCCTTGACATCGTCCTCGTCCTCCTTCTCATCATCAGCATCATCCTCCTCATCATCATCCTGACCAGCATCATCACCATCAGCAACAGCATCATGGTCATGAGCCTCAGCGTCGTCATCAGCATCAGCGTCGCCACCACAATCATCATGAAAGCAGCATCATCATCACCTCATCATCACCATCAGCATCATCATCGTCAGAATCAGCATCACCATCGTCATCAGCAGCATCATCATCATCACCATCAGCATCGTCAACATCATCATCGTCGACATCGTCTTCGGTACCATCCTCATCATCACCATCATCAGCAGCAGCACCACCACCAGCATCCACATAAGCATCATCATCGTCATCATCCTTATCATCATCAGCATCATCAGCATCATCCTTATGCTCCTCCGCCTCCTTCTGGCCTCGCCGAACACTAAGTGCCAGGTGAACTCCATGCCGTAGCAGTGCGTCGATCGCGCTGGCTTTCCTGCACGGAGGGAAGGAGGAAGAAGGAATGAGAAGAAGGAAAACGAATGAGGAGGAGCAGCAGCAGACGGAGACGGGAAAGGAGGAAGAGGAGGAAGAGGAAGTGGAGGTGGAGGAGGAGGAGTCAGGAGAAGAAGGAAAAGTAAAGGAAGGGAGGCGGAGGAACAAGGACGCAATGAGTATGCGAGGACAAGCAAGGCCAGAGGGGACCGCAAAGACAACGATTGGCTCCTGGGGCACAGAGGTCGTAGTCCAGCGTGCCGTCGACCATGCGCATCATCCGCTGGTAGAACTCAAGGGGTCTCTTCTGGATCTGTGTGTTCTGAACCACGAACTGCGCGCAGCAATACGGACCCACTGCCTCCTTCATCGGCTCTCCGAAGATCGCCTCGTGCACGGCGCTGAGGCAGGGCGTAAGAGTACGCACGTGCCTGGCTCCGTTCAGGCTGAGGAACGGCACTGCGTACGTGGACCCGGCAATCATCTTCAGCGCCACCTGGAGGTAGGCAAAGTGCAGATGCTCGGCGGGGTCCGCCTGCAGGAAGACGGTGAAGGTGGCGAGCTCGGAGTACCTTATGCTTTTCGTGGCAGCATGCAGGTGGTTCGATGCTGACCCTGCTCGCGCGCCCGCCGCTGGCATCACGAGCCGAGTGAATGGCCGATGCTGCGCTACGCAGCACTGAGCCGCCGAGGTCGAAGCAGCGACCCAGAAAACCGCAGCACAGCACCAGCGCCAAGGCGAGCGGAGCTGGGACCGATGCTTCCCCCGATAGCGTTTCGCCCGAGGGCTCGGCCAGACGTAGACAGAGGGCAACAGAGGAGTCCCCCAAGGGGGGACGGCAAGCCCGAGGCCGCAGCCCGGGATTGGCCGTGCCCTCAGCCCATGTCCGGGCTGCATCTTTCCCAGGAGTCCCCAGGAGTACCCAGGAATGCACGGGCTCGCTGGCCGACCTCCAAGTCCTCGACCCGCCTCTTCACCTGTGCCACTATTTGGGTGCTCTGCTGGGGTCTATGTTTACGTCGGCGGCGAGCCCAGGGGGAAATGAGAGAGGGCAGGGCTTCTCAGAAGGCGGCGGAGCTTCGCGGAAGCCCTCCTGCCTTCTCCGAAGGCTTCCAAGCCTCATCCCAAGACAGAGTCGCCGCCGAAGGTTGCGGCGGCGACTTGGGGCACCTATCCACGATGTGCGCCAGGTACCCGAGGCACTCGTCCCCGCGCGGCTCGCCCTCCGGGTCCGGCGACGCGCGCACCTCCACGGCCCCGAAGCCCGACAGCACGCGGTCCGGCAGCACGGGCCGCTCGTGGCACTTCTCGTAGAGGGTGAGCTTGGCGCCCGCGGGGGCGACCGGCAGGGCGCGGGAGTCCGTGCAGCGACCCTGCGACCCTGGCCACTCGGCTGGAGGAGGAGGAGGAGGAGGAGGAGGAGGAGGAGGAGGAGGAGAAGAGGAGGAGGAGGAGGAGGAGAGAGGAGGAGGAGAGGAGGAGGAGGAGGAGGAGGAGGAGGAGGAGGAGAGAGGAGGGAGGAGGAGGAGGAGGAGGGAGAGGAGGAGGAGGCGGGCCCCGGGGCCATCGCAGACCGATCCGGCTCGAAGAGTGGCGCAGAGAGGTGGGGTCCGGCGCTGCGGTCCTGGCTGGGTGCGCTGCGGCCGTTGTTGCTCGCGGCGTCGGGTCTCAGGGGCGCAGCGAAGCGCTCCCCCCACCCGCCCGCCGCGCCGCGTCTCCTCCCGACCCCTTCCCCTTCTTCGACTCCAGGGCGGTGAGGGAGGGGAGAGCACTTCGCCTCGCAGGCTTCCCTGCCCCCTCCTCGGCAGCAGGTCAGCCTCGACCCAATCCAGAGGCTCGCGGCAATGGACCACCACGAACTCCACAGAGATGGTTGCCGCGCTGCCCCCCAGCAAGGCTGGAAACGTCTGCATCGCCTGCTCCGTGTCCCGCGCGGTCTGCTCGAACCGTGTGACAGCCTCGCCGAAAGACCACGCGCCACTGTCCAAGATGGGCCTCACGGTGTCGGGCAGGCTGTTCACCATGTCCATCGCCCCGCTCGCAAACCTCATGGCGTCGTCGTCCACTGGCAGCTTCGCCTCGGCCACCAGCAGGTATGCCATTATCAGAGGCGCGGCACAGTTGCTCTCGAGGAACTGCAACTGATATGGCTTCGGCAGCTTTGTGAGAAAGAAGGCTTCCAAAAGCGGCGGACGCCGATTACGCACATAATAATCGTTCAGCTTCCGCTGAAAATGGCCTACCGAGAAAGCATACTCGTGGACGCACGACGCCTCGGTGGCGTTGTTGCACCACGAGAACTGGTATTCCTCGGGAGCCGCAGACTGCGCTATGGCACTAGTCCTGGCCGGGCCCCTCTTGGCCCCAGGTTAGGTGCACTGCCGAGCCTGGCATGGGCCACGAGGCTCCACATACCGATCCTGAGCCCAAGAGGGCCCTGGCCAAGACCAATGCGAACGTTCAGTTCGTAGATCTCGGTGCTCCGGGTAGCAGGTGAACGCAAACGTGCATGGCAAAGCAAGCAGTCCGAATCGCCTCCAAGGCATGCCCTCCACGACAGCGTCCAGACAACCCCACGTCGGCCCATCACCCGGCGGGGCCCGAACGACTGGGATAAAACGAACGGGCGCGGTGTACTCCGCAACTTGTGCCAGAATGGCTTCGAAGAAACAGAAGATGAGAAGTGATGGATGGTGCTGAAGCGAGATGCCCTGCGTAACCGTCGTAGCCACTTGCCAAGAAAAACCTTCTGTAATGCCATAGAACAACACGCTGATGAAATTGACCCGCAGCATGCCCCATGTTGATCTGGCATCGGAGCCCCGCTGGTAGGGCTTAGGCGTTAGGCGCTCCGTGCCAAAAACACTTACCATACCCAACCCATCGGCACCAAGGGGTGATATAAGGTGTGACGACAAGAGTGTGACAGCAACACTGCAAGAGCCGGTGCACGGCGGATATGTATGTCGTGCGAAGTGTGCGTGGCCGATTCGCAGAACAGAGGTACAAAAGGCCAGGAGGCATTGTACAAGGTCAGAGAAGAAATAGGAAGACATCAGGGTGGAAGAACAATCACCTTAGCAGAAGCAGCGAGATGATGGCAAGATCTTTTGGGGATCTGCGTGGAGTCTTACCGTGCTGGGTCCCCCAGCAGTCCTCGAAAGCGGGAACAGTTTCACACTTCGCAGCCCACCAGGGATGGCGAGGTCCTATTTGGATCTGCGTAGGGCCCAACTGTGCTGCCCCGCCCAGCAGCCCTCGAAAGTGGCAGAAATTTCACACGTCGCAGTCCCCCGGGGATGGCGAGGTCCTGTTTGGGTCTGGCGAGGACCCCGCTGTGCTGCCCCGCCCAGCAGCCCTCGAAAGTGGCAGAAGTTTCACAGTTCGCAGCCCTCTAGGGATGGGCGAGGTCCCGTTTGGGTCGGGCGAGGACCCCACTGTGCTGGCTCCCCCAACAGCCCCCGAAAGTGGAGACAGCTTCACACTTCGCAGTCACCCAAGGATGGCGAGGTCCCGTTTGGGTCTGCGGGGGACCTCACTGTGCTGCCCCTTCCCCCCAGTAGACCTCGAACGTGGCGGCAGCTTCACACTTCGCAACCACCCAGGGATGGCGAGGTCCTATTTGGGTCTGCGTGGGACCCCACTGCGCTGGCCCCCCCAGCAGCCCTCGATAGTGGCGACGGTTTCACACTTCGCAGCCCCCCAGGGATGGCGAGGGCGACAATTTCACACTCCGCAGCCACCCAGGGGTGGCGAATCCCGTTTGGGTCTGCGTGGGACCCACTGCGCTGGCCCCCCCCAGCAGCCCTCGAAAGTGGCGACAGCTTCACACTTCGCAGCCCCCCAGGGATGGCGAGGGCGACAATTTCACACTCCGCAGCCACCCAGGGATGGCGAGGTCCCGTTTGGGTCTGCGTGGGACCCCACTGCGCTGGCCCCCACCAGCAGTCCTCGAAAGTGGCGATGGTTTCACACTTCGCAGCCCCCCAGGGATGGCGAGGGCGACAATTGCACACTCCGCAGCCACCCAGGGGTGGCGAATCCCGTTTGGGTCTGCGTGGGACCCCACTGCGCTGCCCCCCCCCCCAGCAGCCCTCGATAGTGGCGATGGTTTCACACTTCGCAGCCCCCCAGGGATGGCGAGGGCGACAATTTCACACGTCGCAGCCCCCAGGGATGGCGAGGTCCGGTTTGGGTCTGGCGGGGATCCCACTGCGCTAGCCCCCCCAGCAGCCTTCAAAAATGGCGACAATGTCACACTCCGCAGCCACCCAGGGATGGCGAGGTCCCGTTTGGGTCGACGTGGGACCCCACTGCGTTGAACGTGGCGACAGGTTGTACACTTCGCAGCGTCCCTGGGGATAAGGAGGTCCCTTTTGGGTCTGCGTGGGACCCCACTGTGCTGCCCCCCCCAGCAGCCCTCGAAAGTGACGATGGTTTCACACGTCGCCCCGCCCCCTCGGGATGGCGAGGCCCTGTTTGGATCTGCGTGGGACCCCACTGCGCTGGCCCCACCAAAAGCCCTCGAAAGTGGCGACAGATTCACACTTCGCAGCCCCCCAGGGATGGCGAGGTCCCGTTTGGGTCTGCGTGGGACCCCACTGTGCTGCACACACATACACACACACACACACCGGCAGCCCTCGAAAGTGGCTACAATGTCATACTTCGCAGCGTCCCCAAGTATGGGTCCCGTTTGGGTCTGCGTGGGACCCCACTGTGCTGCCCCCCCCAAACCGCCCTCGAAAGTGGCGACAGTTTCACACTTCGCAGCTCCCAAGAGGAATGCGAGAGGAGAGAGCCTAGCTGAGAGCTGGGAAGGGGGAGGAGAAGGAGAAGGAGAAGGAGAAGGAGAAGGAAAAGGGAGAAGGCGACCCCACTGCTCTCTTCAAAACGAGAACCAAACAACAGGAGGGTTGGGAAACAGATCAGGCACAACGACGTGACAGTTGTCATGAACTGTGCTGACGGATCTCGGCTTGCACGTTCATCATGATGTTTTTGACCGCAAGTAATTTGCCAACGATGAAATACCGCGACGGATCATCAGAGAATGTGTTGAGAATCTTGACTCGACTCATTGACCCTAAGCAGTGGCTAAAACATGGAGGCCTGAGCCTTCATGATGCGAGACAAACCTGAACACGGAAACCGTACCGTGGCCCGTCCTGGGAACACTATTATGACTGGTGTCCGAATGCGCTACCATCGGCTCCCCAGGAAATCATGTTGACGCGAGGGCCTTCCAGATGCAGGGGCCGCGAAAGACAAGCTGTGCACGCCGCCCTGGTGCTGTTTCTCGACATGCCCCTCCGCACATCAGAGATACGTCCGCTTCACTTATGGCACCCGCCCACTGGCCGCAGAGGCCGCCAAAAAAGCGAAGCCAAGACCCCCCTGTTCGAATATTCCCCCTGTAGAGGGACATGCCCGACGGAATGCTAGCCCTCAGCGCCACGACGCAGTGCAAGATGCGGCGCTTCCTCGCCCGACGGGTGCAGGATGGCCCCCAGGTGCCCTCAGGTTTAAGTCGGGCACCTCCTGCAGGCGGGCTTGTGAGAAAAAAGTGCCAACACCTGTTTAAAACAAACAAATGTTCCCTAACATGTCTATGTTGGACTAAGTTTGAATCCTCCTCCTGTAGAGGGACATGCCCGACTCAACCCCAGGTGCCGGCCTGCTGGCCCAGGAGCGGCCCGCGAGGAGCGCAGCGGCGACGTCGGCCTCCGTCTGTGGAGGCACGCGTCCGGTTCGAGGGAACCTGTCCTGCGAGCTCCCCGCCATCCTGATCACGGCGGCTCAAGGAGATGCGGCGACCAATCGCGCCCACTGGTGCCACCTGCAGGGGCCCGCGCGGAGCCCGTCGCCCCGTCAGCCAGCACGTGCCCAGCCGGCACGGGGGCCGGTGTACAGCCAGCGTCGTTCAGGGCACTGCACGCTGGCGGTGGCCGGGTGTCTGAACTGGTTGGGGCCCCAGGCACTCGGCCAGCAGAGGCCAAATCCGATCAAAATCTGTACTTGGTTTCACCTGGACCCCTCCCGGGATCCATATGGTGGCGCTTTTCATCCGGGCTCCGTTGTCGTGACGGTCCCGAGAATGCCCTCCAGAGGCCGAACAACTAAAAGAAACCTTCCCGAACCCAGAACCTCTAACCTGCCCGCCCTTCCTTCTGGCCCGAGCCACGCGCGCCCACTTGTTTTCCCTGTTATCCCAGCGGTTTTTCCTAGTTGCCGAAAGTCCTGCACCGCCCGCATCTCGACCAGCGCTCACTAGAGCGGCAAGAGCAATGCCTTTCCGATCTCCTCCGCCTTCTCACGGCCGTACATGGACTCCACGATCTTCAGCGCAAAGTGCAGGCTCGTGCCAGGGCCCTGGCCAGTGATGATGTGCCCGTCCACCACGGCCTTCTCGTCCACCCAGGCCTCCCCGACAGTGTCCTTAAACTTCTGGACCGGGTAGCAAGTGGCCACCTTGGGCAGGAGCCCGTGCGCGCCGAAGATCACTGCAGGGCTCGCGCAGACGGCCGCGGTCAGCTTGGACTTCTCCGACTGCGCCTTCAGGATCTTGGTCAGCGCCTCGCTGTCCCGGAGCCTCTCGGCGCCAGGCATGCCGCCAGGGCAGGCGACGGCATCCCACTCCTTGTCCACGCACTCCTCGATGAGGCAGTCCGCCATGACCTCTCGGTGACGCGGATAGGGGGGTCGGGGGAGGGGGGAAGGCTTCGTAGGAGCACCCCTGCGTCTCAGAGGGCGCCGCCCCTCCACCTACAGACAAGGCCCGCACCTTCCAAGAAGCGGGGTTGCTTCTAAGAAGCATTGCCCCCCTCCCCCATACCCCCTTTTGCGCGTGGCCGAGCCTTGAGCCCCCTCGACATCTTCACCAGGGGGTTGCCCGACACGCTCGCCACGACGACCTCGGCCCCCGCGCGCACGAGCGTGTCGGTGATGCACGCCGTCTCGATCTCCTCCGAGTCGTCGGCGACCGGGACGAGCACCCGCTTCTTGGCGGCGTCCATCGCTGGGGGAGGGGGCTGCGCGGCCGGCCTACGGGGTAGCAAGCAAGCGCGGAAGAGGATCCTCGGGCTGGAAGGCCCGCGCTCAAGTGTGTACATCTCCTCCCCGCCTCGCCCAACCCCTCCACAACCTAGCCGCCTCCTCCGCGCACTTCTCCTCCTCATCTTCCTCTTCCTCTTCCTCCTTCTCTTGCTACTCCTCCTCCTCATCTCATCCTCCTCCTCCTCCTCCTCCTCCTCCTCCTCCTCCTCCTCCTCCTCCTCCTCCTCCTCCTCCTCCTCCTCCTCCTCCTCCTCTTGCTCCTCTCTCCTCCTCCTCTTCCATCCATCTCCCGTGTAAATAACCCCTCCTTGTCATACCCCCAGAGGTGTCGGTAGGGCGGGCCAGGAGATTCTCGTGAGACTCCCCCCCCATTGATGTTCTTGAATCTTGAAATTGACAACGGTATCACGGATGGAGTGCGGGCCGTGTCTTTAATGGGCCTCATCTCGCCTTAGCGCCGCGCACACTCGTCTTAAAAGGTAGCAGCAATATTACATATGAAGGGCGGGTGATTTTCAAAGTGTGGCCCTCTCCTAAGCGCCGCGCACATTCGTATTAAAAAGTTGCAGCTGAACAGACATTGAGGGCCACTCTTGTTCAAAATGTAGCTCTCGCCTTAGCGCCTCGAACATTCGTTTTGAAAGTTTGCAACAGATTCAAGGCTTCTCATGACCAAATTTCGAGGAATCGTGCTCTGGCAAGATTTCGGATTGTCAGAACGCAACATCATGTTGATTCGCGGTGCTGGAATCCCAGGAACGGCTTTCTGGCAGGAATTAACTTTGTCAGGACGCAACAATGACGACGATTCGCGACGCTGACGTCACAGGAATGGTGGTTTGGGCACGATTGGGTATGCTCAGGCGCTTGCCTTCGAATGGGGAATTTCCCGCAGTGGAAGCAAATTATTATGGGCCCCCATGACAAGGGAACTTGGAAGGAGGGTTCTGCGCGACAGCCTTGATGCGTCTTGGGTTGTACTGGTCCTCCTCTTCCTCCTCCTCAGGCAAGGAAGGCAGCCAAAAGAAGCAGATGGGAGCAGTGGGGGAAGCAGCAGAAGGATCAGTAGGAGGTGTAGGTGCACGGTCTCCCCCGGGGCCGTAGGCGACCCGAGGAGGAGGAGGAGGAGGAGGAGGAGGAGGAGGAGGAGGAGGACGGGTAGCCTAAGCCCTTCGGAGAAACCCTCCAGGTGCAGGAGCAGGCGCCAAGACCCCAGGCACAGCCGTCGCTGTTTTCCCCGGCGCGTCTGCGGAGCCTGCCTGCGACAGGACAGCCAAGATATCGACATGCAGGCTGCAGAAGCATGCGGCGTGCAGGGGCCTGTCGCATCAGCAGCAGCAGGGGCCGCAGGAGCGGGCAGCGGGCAGCGGGTGCAGGAGGAGCACCAGCACCGGAACGAAGCACCACCCCTGGCGACTGGAGGCAGCAGCAGCAGCAGCAGCAGCAGCAGCAGCAGCAGCAGCGGGAGCACGAAGGCGAAGCCCGCGGCCGCGCCCTCAGGAGAACCCACCTGAAGCCCGCGGCCGTGCCCTCAGGAGAACCCACCTGAAGCCCGCGGCCGTGCCCTCAGGAGAACGCCTCTGCCTCGGACACGGCCACGATGGCACACGTGTCCGGCCGGGACAGCGCCGGCAGCAGCGAGCCGCGAACGAACTCCAGCGCGGAGCGCGCGAAGGCGCCCTCGCAGGCTCCGAGGTCCTTGGCGGAGTCCTGCACCCCACGAGGAGGAGGAGGAGGAGGACGACGACGACGAGGACGACTAGGACGACGAGAGCGACGAGGACGAGGACAAAAAAGGTGGAGCACTCGGACTCGGAGCAGAAAGCACGAAAAAGCTGCCAACAAAGACAGCTTCGGAGCTCCGCGCGGATTTCTTGGATCTGCGCTGGGGCTCCCTGGCGCCGCCTCTGGCGCCGCCCCCGGCACGCTCCAGAGGCAGGGAGAGGGGTCCAGCGCAGATCCAAGAAATTCGCGCGGAGCTCCAAAAGTGTTCTGGCGACGGCGGCGTTGGCGGCAACGACGACCCCCGTCGCCCACCGGCAGAGTCCTGGAGCCCGTCCTTAGTGTCTGGCCGACCACTGCGCTGATCACAGCCCGGCCACGCGATCCGATCAGGGCCCCGATCACGCTGGCCACCGCGCCGATCCCCAGTCGATCGCGTCCTCAAGCTCGGACGATCGCGCCATCGAGCCGAGCCGACCACGTGATCGGCGATCACGGGATCCCCGGATCACCGCTATCGTCGACCACACGCAAGAGTGACCCTGGGCAAGAGTGACCTTTGGTGCGCGGCTTTTTGGGGGCCGCGGGGGGGACCACAAAACGAGCGCGCGAGACGCACCTTCCGCATCGCGTCCTGCGATCGGGGGGCCCCGTTGGGCCCGCACCAAAGGTCACTCCGGCGAAAGGTCACTCTTAGGTGTACAGTCGGGGCCCTGAAGAATTTGGTTGGGGAGGGGCTCCGCGTTCCTTAAGTGTTTCGCAGCTTGCCTCAGGTTTCCCTCAGGTCTTCGGATAGGAAATCGAAGCTCAACGCATGGAAAAAAGGGGCCTCGTTCCTGATTTAGGGTTCCTTAGGTCAACGCCCCGACTGTAGAGGCAGTGGCTTGTGCGCGGCGATGTGCTTGCATCCGTAAGCTTCTCCGGCCTCAGGCAGGCCAGAACAGCCAGACGGGCAGGACCTCCCCCACGAGAGGGGAGGAGGAGGAGGAGGAGGAGGAGGAGGAGGAGGAGGAGGAGGAGGAGGAGGAGGTCTGTGATCGCCGATCGCGTGACCGGCAGGCACTGGGAGCCCGTCCAGGAGCAGCAGGCGCCCCTCCCGCTCGGCGAGGCACACGAAGTGGCACTCCAGCTTCGACGGGGCCGGAGCGCGAAGGGAGGGCTCTCCGGGCCCCCGAGGCCCAGCGGGAGGAGGGGGGGAGAACCGGGAGGGGAGGAGGAGGAAGAGGAGGAGGAGGAGGAGGAGGAGGAGGAGGAGAAGGAGGAGGAGGAGCAGGAGCAGGAGCAGGAGCAGGAGCAGCAGCAGGAGGAAAGGGGACGCTGAGGAGAAGCAGGAAGAGAAGCGACGAAGACGAGACGACGACAACGGTGAATCACCCTCCTCTTCGCTCTTCTCCTCCTCCGCCTCCTCCTCCTCCTCCTCCGCCTCCTTCGCCTCAAGGTTCGTCTTGTATTAAAAGAGATGTCTTATTGCTAGTAGTACGTGTCGTAATGGATATTAGTACTCTTCCGAATCATCATCACCGTCATCATCAACATCATCAGCATCATCATCAGCAGCAGCATCAACATCAGCATCATCAGCATCATCATCGCCACCATCATCATCATCAGCAGCATCATCATCGTCATCAGCATCATCAGATTCAGCATCATCAGCGTCACCATCAACATCCTCATCATCATCATCATCATCAGCATCATCATCAAAACCACCATCAGCATCATCCGTATTATCTGTCTCGTCCTCCCCTCATCACCCTTGTAATCACCATCATCCCAGTACCACCATTACCAACATCCCCCATCAGCATCATCATCATCATCATCATCATCATCATCATCATCATCATCAGCATCATCATCATCATCATCACAAGAACCACCATCATGATCATCAAACAAGCATCATCAGCAGCATCAGCATCATCAGCATCAGCATCATCGTCATCATCAGCAGCAGCATCATAATCATCATCAGCAGCATCATGAGCTAGATCATCTCCGACAGCATCAGCATTGCCATCATCACCATCAGCATCATCATCAGCATCATCAGCACCAGCATCATCATCAGCAGCAGCATCATCGTCGTTATCATCATCGCCACCATCATCATTACCAGCAGCATCAATGTTACCATTGCCATCCTCATCATCATCGTCAGCAGCAGCATCATCACCGTCATCAGCATCATCACCCGAATCAACATCATCATCAGCAGCAGCAGCATCATCAGCATCATCAGCATCACCATCATCATCGTCATCAACACCATGATCCCCATCATCAACAGCATCACCATCACCATCATCACCATCATCATCATTATCATCACCAGCAGCAAGACAATCCTCATCATCATCAACATAATCATCATCATCGTCACTCCTCCCTCGTCATCTTCTTCATCTTCCTTCTCACTCCTCCTGCCTCCATCCTCCTCCAACCTCCTCCCCCATCCCTTCATGACACAACGGTGGCGACGAGGTTCGAGTGCCCTCCTTTGGCCCTCCACAGGGGCAGCGCCCGCCGCTCAGCCGCCAGATCAGCGCGCAGACCAGCAGGCAAGCGAGGGAGAAACACAGGTAGATGGACAAGACCTTCCATACTGCGCCGGGAAGAAGGAGGGCTACGGGATGATCGGAGGTTGGGGGGTGAGATCGCAATGGAACGGAGACCCACAACCGGGAAATCGTTTCGTTTCGTTCGTGTCGTGCGTGCGGGCGAGGCGAAGCTGCGTGGGCGCGCGAGAGGAATGAACCCGCCGTTGATAGGGCGAAATCAAGACAAATGATTCTCCCCCCTCCGTCCGTCCGTCCAGCGGTGGCCCTCGGTGTCCCGCGGTGTCCCATGATGTCCCGTGGTGTCCGCTGTTGCTAAGGCGAAGTCGAGACAAATGATTCTCCCCCGTCCGTCCGTCCGTCCGTCCGTCCGGGGGTGACCCTCGGTGTTCCGCGGTGTCCCGTGGTGTCCCGTGGTGTCCCGTGGTGTCCCGTGGTGTCCGCCGTTGCTAGGGCGAAGTCGAGACACATGATTCTCCCCCGTCGGTCCGTCCGTCCGGTGGTGTCCCGGGGTGTCCCGTGGTGTCCCGTGGTGTCCCAGAAAGTGAGATCGATAGTGAGATCGATAGCGAGATCGATAGTGAGACCGATAGTGAGATCGATAGTGAGATCGGTAATGAGATCGATGTGGTGCCCCGAGGTGTCCCGTGGTGTCCTGTGGTGGCCCGTGGTGTCCTATGGTGTCCAGTTGAGTGAGATCGATAGTGTGATCGATAGTGAGACCGATAATGAGATCGAGAGGTGTCCCGCGGTGTCCCGTGGTGTCCCGTGGTGGCCCGTGGTGTCCCGTGGTGTCCCGTTGACTGAGATCGATAGTGAGATCGATAGTGAGATCGACAAGTGTCCCGTGGTGTCCCGCGGTGTCCCGTGGTGTCCCGTGGTGTCCCGTGATGTCCCGTGGTGTCCCGAGGTGTCCCGTTGGGTAAGATCGATAGTGAGATCGATTGAATCAGATGTTGGTTCCCCCCCCCCTTCCCCCCCCCCACAACCTCCTTATCACCCGAAGGGTGGTCGTATGAGCAGGTTGGCCTCGCGTGCGCCCGCATAAGGGGGCACGAGGGCCAGGAAAAGAGAGAAGGGCGGCCAGCGAGAACGATGGCGACGAAGACGCACGACGACGGCGGCGAGAACTACAGACGACGCGACTGAAGAAGGAGAAGGGGGAGGAGGACGGGGAGGAGGAGGAGGAGCGGTAGCAGGAGCACAAAGCAGAGCTGGCGGAGCAGGAGGAGAAGCAGCAGAAGGAGTAGGAGGAGGGGCAACAGTAGCAGACAATAGGAGGAAAAGGGGGACGAAGGGGAGGAGCAGCAGGAAAAGAAGCACCTGGTAAATGGGCAAGACATGCTCCTTTGGAAAAGTGTCGGAGGAAGCGGAGGGTGGAGGAGAGGCAGATGGACACAGAGGAGCAGGGAAGGGGGGTGAGAAAGAGAGAGCGATGAAGATTGGAAGCGAAGGAGAGCAGCGTAAGCAATAGAAGATGTTGAGGAGGAGGTGGATGAGAATGAGGATCGGATGGGATCAGATCGACTCGGCACTGCACTTGCGTCTCAGGACGCCACCCACCAGCACAGCGAATACACGCGTGCAGGTAAAAAGGAGGAGGATAATTATAATGAGGCCAAGGCGGAGGAGGAGGAGGAGGAGGAGGAGGAGGAGAAAGAGGAGGAGCGAGAGAGGAAGAAGGGAGAAGAGAGGGGCAGAGCCGGAGGCACGCGGGGGCCGGGGGAGGAGGGTGGAGGGGAGGGGGGACCGGGACCAGGACAGCCAGATGAACTAGACCGTTCTTCCATCAGTTGGCGGCGCGCACAACGGGGTGGGGGGAGGGGGAGGGCTTCTCAAAAGGAGGCTGCTTCTTAGAAGGCGCCGGCCTTACATATATAGATAAGTAAGGCCCGCGCCTTCTAAGAAGCAGGGGTGCTTCTGAGAAGCCCTCCCCCCTCCCCCCACTCCCCGCTGCGCGTGGTTAAATCAAGGGGTGGGGGGACGAGGAGAAAGAGATGGCCCCTGCTTGACGTTCAATGTCTTTTAGCTACGGAATGTTTGAACGTTTTCTCAAGCAACAATCCAGGTCAGTGTATACCTAATATATATATATATATATATATATATATATATATATATATATATATATGCATATGTGTATTGGTGGGGCACCGACAGACTGCACCTCCATTGAAACAGCGTGCAACACGGCAAGGCGAAACACTTGAATTTGTACCGCGGGGCTTACCAAGGCGAAGCGCTCAAAGCGTACATATGCATAAAATATCCGGGATAAAAGCTCCAAGAAAACGCCCAAGGTCTAGTGCAGTTTCTCGAAACTCGTGAACGAACCTGAAGTCAACGAAAGTAGCCTCTGTTCTTTCTTGAGACTTCTGATGGGTGCAGACCGCTCGTTCCTCAGGGCAAAGGGGGGGATGAGGCGGAGGGGGGGTGTGGGCTGGCAATGACTTTTTCACGACGTCGAGCCCCAGAGGTCTCGAACCATTCCCCGGGACCGGCTTCTCATCTCGAGTCGTTTTTTGACGGCACAGGTGAGGGCCCCAAAAGCCGAAAATAGCAACAACAAAAACGTCGTGATTTGTTCATGATTCGAGGATGTCTGAGCCCTCGAGGCTGGTCAAGACCTTCGTCCCCCGCGCAAAGAGCACCCAGGCCGCGGAGACGACCCAGGCGAGCGCTGGCAGGAGCGTGACCCAGGTCCAAATGGGCGACAGCGGCATCCGCGACTGGCCCCCCGTGGCGTGCGTCCGGTAGATGGCCCGGATGCCTGGGAGGGGAACCCCATCCACCTCCTCCCCCCTGCCCCTTCTCCTCCTCCTCCACCTCCTCCTCCTCCTCCTCCCCCTCCTCCTCCCTCCCCCTCTTCCTCCTCCTCATCCTCCTCCTCCTCCGAGTATGCCGCCGCCACCGCCGCCACCGCCGCAGCCGCCGCAGACGACGACGACGACGACGACGACGACGACGACGACGACGACGACGACGACGACGACGACGACGACGACACGGCGGCGACGACGACGACCACGACTGCGACCGCAGCCTACGTCGTTCACCAGCGCCCGCCCGCGGTCTGCGGGCGAGGCGGAGGGCGGCAACGCCTCCAGCCAGCGCCGCATGGGCCCGCCCTCGGGCCAGTGGCCGGCGACCGTGCCGCCGGGGGCGCCGAGCAGGCCCGCGTTGAGGAGGGCGTGCAGCAGGGCGATGATGCCTTGGGCGCTGATTACGCAAAGGCCTCCCAGAGGGGGTCGGAGCAGGTGGGGTCGGAGGCAGGCGCCGCATCGCCGATGCATCGCCAATGCATCGGCCATGCATCGGCGATGTATCGCCGCCGTCGGCGTGGCGAAAACCGGGCTCCGCATCGAGCCGCGTCGGCGATGCATCGGCGACGTGGCGCGATCCAACGACCCCATCTACTCCGAACCCATCTAGGAGGCCTAGAGCCACGGAACGGGGGGGGGCGCAGAAGCGTGCACCTTCCGTGCACCTTCGTCGGCCCCAGGGAGGGGCCCCTCTAGGCGCACGAAGGGCGCATCTCCCCTCACACCTCCCGTCGATCGCCACCCCCCCATTGCGCAACGCCCGAATGCCGCAGGCGGCGTCGAGGCCCGGCACCTGTTAGGACGCCCCTCCTTGCCCTCCTTCGAGGTTCGAGGTCTTCGCGCGTTTTTGTCCGCTCTTGCCAGTCTTCCAGCCTCAGAATGCCTTCCAACGGCGTCGCCTCGCCGGATCGCCCCGAAGGGCCGCTGGAGACCCGGCTTCAGCCCGAAAGCCACAAGAGGGGGCCCGATCAGGGCTCCTGTGGGCTCTTCCCCCGGTCATTTCCTCCTCGCCCTCGCGCACCCCCCCTCTCCGGACAGATTCCCTGCTGCCACTGCTGCTGCTGCTGATGCTGCTGCTGCTGCTGCTGCTGCTGCTACTGCTGCTGCTGCTAATGCTGCTCCTCCTCCTCATCCTCCTCCTCATCCTGATCCTCGTCATCCTGATCCTCCTCATCCTAATGCTGATCCTCCTTCTCATCCTCCTCATCCTAATGCTGCTAATGCTGATCCTCCTCATCCTCCTCCTCCTCCTCCGCCCTGCTCATCCTCCTCCTCCTTCTTATCCTCCTGTTCCTCATCATCATCATCATCATCATCATCATCATCATCATCATCATCATCATCATCATCATCATCAGCATCATCATCAGCATCATCATCATCATCGTCATCATCATCATCATCATCAACATCATCATCATAATCATAATCATCAGCATCCTCCTCCTCCTCCTCATCATCATCATCATCGTCATCATCAGCATAATCATCATCGTCATCATCATCATCATCATCAGCATCAGCATCAGCATCAGCATCATCATCAGCAGAATCAGCATCAGCATCATCATCATCAGCAGCATCATCATCATCAGCATCATCATCAGCATCAGCATCATCATCATCATCATCATCATCATCATCATCATCATCATCATCATCATCGTCATCATCATCATCATCATCCGCCTCCGCCTCCGCCTCCGCCGACACCGCCTCCTCCGCCTCCGCCTCCGCCTCCTCCTCCTCCTCCTCATCCTCCTCCTCCACCTCATCCTCATCCTCCTCCTCATCATCCACATCATACCTCTCCTCATACCCCTCATCCTCGCCTACCTCCTCCTCCTCCTCCTCCTCCTCCTCCTCCTCCTCCTCCTCCTCCTCCTCCTCCTCTTCCTCGACACGAGCCCGGCGAGCAACGAAGGCTTGCCGAGTCACACTGAAGCACACTGGGAAGCAGGTGGCGAGGTGAACTCGGCCGCCTATGACGTCGACCCAGTCCGGGCGCACGAGGAAGAGGAAGCGGAGAAGCAAGAAAAGGATGCCAGCGCACAGTCCGCCTGACGACATGCCGCGGCCAGTCCGCAGACAGCTTCCAACTATGCAGCCTTCGCTGGCTCAAAGGCCTGAGGTGTGTGAGCTGGCTGGGATGCGAATCCCGACACTATTCAAACGCTCCAACAAAAGAGCAACAAGGAAGCGGAGAACGAGGGCGACGACGAGGACGAGGAGATGGAGCGGAGGGGAAGGGGGAGGAGAAGCAGTGGAGGAGGAGAAGAGGAGGAAGAAGGAGGAGGAGGAGGAGAAACAGCAGAAAGAAGAGCAGGAGCCGGACGGGGGGCGGGAGGAGGAGGAGGAGGAGGAGGAGGAGGAGGAGGAGGAGGAGGAGGAGGAGGAGGGGGGGGGGGATGGGGAGGGAGGAGGAGGAGGAGGGAAGGAGGAGGAGGAAAGGGAGGAGAAAGGGATGAAGGGAGGAGGGAGGAGGAGAGAAAGGGGGGGAGGAGGAGGAGGAAGAGCAGAGGCAGAATCTGGAGCAAGACGAGGGCCTCGTCTGGGGCCTTCCCGCGCGCGTGGCGACGGGAGGGGCAGACCAAGGATGAACAGGTCTCCGCCCTGGCCGTGGCGTCCGAGGGCGAGGCGGAGCCCTCCCTCCCACTGCTCCTCCTCCTGCCTCCTCCTCCTCCTCCTCCTCTCCTCATTCCCCATCCTCATCCTCATCTTCATCCTCATTCTCCTCCGCCTCTCCTCCTCCTCCTCCTCCTCCTCCTCCTCATCCCCCCTCGACCTCCTCCTCCTCCTCCTCCTCCTCCTCCTCCTCCTGGCCCCTCGCGGTCGCGGGGCTCTCCGTCCTAGCGCCTCAACATGTGGCTCCCGCCTTAGCGCCGCGCACATTCGTTTTTGTCACATCTATAATTTCATGTATTCAGGGCGGCCTGTTTTCAAAATGTGGATCTCGCCTCAGTGCCGCGCACAATCGTTTTAAAAAATTGCAAGCGTGTCGCGGATTGAGGGTGGCTCGTGTTCAAAATGTGAGCTCTAGCCTCAACGCCGCGCACATGCGTTTCAAACATTCGCAAAAGTTTCACGGGTTGAGGGCGATTCGTTTACAACATGTGGCTCTCGCCGTAGGCGTTGCAAGAGTTCCACTGGTTCTCATGGTTAGCGTACCAGAGATGGTGTTTTGGAACGTTTCCGGATTGACAGGGCGCAACAGTTACGTTGATTAACGGTGTCGAAGTCCTAGGAATGATGTTCTGGCACGACTCTGGATCGCCAAGAAGTAACAGTCAGGCTAACTCGTGGCGTTGAAGCCCTGAAAATGGTGATCTGGCGCGCTTTAAGATGTTCACACGGTTGTCCCCAAACGGGGCAATTCCCTCAGGTGAAATGAACCCTTTTGGGGCCTATGAACATCGTTGATGCGTCATGGGTTTACACTGGTCCCCCTCCTCCATCATCATCAGCATCATCAGCAGCATCCTCATCGTCATCATCAGCATCATCTTCGAAATCACCATCATCATCATCATCATCATCAGCATCATCAGCATCAGCATCGTCATCATCAGCAGCAGCAGCATAATCATCCGAATCCTCATCCTCATCCTCATCCTCATCAGTCCCTCAGCAGCAGAGTGCGCCAGGCCATCAGCCTCTCACGATCACGAAGGAGCAGCAGTACCACCTGTAAGAGTCGCTGCAAGACCCAGTCAGGGAAGTAAAGGTGCCGAGCTACGCGAGGGGCTCTGTCGCTTTCGGCCTGAGCGAGGCTGGGGCGATGCAGGCAGGCTCCGCTTTTGCCACATGGGTCTCACGCTTGGAAGGTTTTCTGTGATATGCTTGAAGTGCATCCCAAAGACCAGCATAGATTTAAAGGCCGAGCTGACCTGCGTGTGCTCCAAAAGCGGCCTGAGGCCCAGGGTGCCCACGTTGTGTCTTCCAGGGATCCTGTGGCCCACTGGTGGGCTACCCTGAGCTTATTACTTTCGGACCTGGTCGGCTTCCTTGGGGACAGATCGCAGCACAGGCCCAGCTGATGTTTTGAGCGACTTAGGGACATGGCCTCGACAACGCCAGTCTCGTCATTCTTGCCGCTCACAGCTAATATTGGCTCGGAATGGGTCAGCAGCCTGCGTGTTCTCAGAGCGGCTTCCGACCAGACTGTCGGAGATTTCGAAGCTAGAGCCAGACAGAACTCGGTGCGGGCCCAGCGTGCGGTTTTGAATAACACTCTCACCTGTTTCCACCAGTGGGTCATGCAGCAGGACCAGGCTAAAAACCGAGGCGTCTATAGCCGCATCAGACACAAGTCGGTGCATGTCGGGGAGGCTCGGACTGGGGGGGAGATGGCTACGGACTGGACTCCTGCCAGAGAATGGCTATCAAGGCCAAGATCTGGGCGAGTGGGCAGGAGACAGCTCTAGTTTTCCCAAGGTTCGGGCCATTCAGCGCGAGGCCCAGTCGAGGGCCAAGCTGCACCCGCGACCCCCGCTGGGAGCCGATTGGCTCCGTAGGGTCATCTCGGCCCTGCCTGAAAAAGTTCCAGGTGTAGATAAGCTGTCTGAGAAGGGTTTCCGGTGGCTGCCGCCGTTGGGCCTGCAGAGGCTAGCTGATTTCTATGCGCCTGTCAAGCAGAAAGTGCGTTGGCCCCGGCAGGCCCTGGTGGTTCTTGTCACGCTCCAAGTCAAAGACCAGGACTCCGACCGAGAGCGATAGGCCTGCTGGCCTGGATTGACCGTTTTTGAGGGCGGCTGCGCACCTCGGACCGAGCGGGCTGGACTAAGGAGCGCGCGGGGCCGTGGGACACGGCCCTCGCGGGCTGTTCTGCACTGCAAGTTGCCCTTTTCAGATTTGTTCAGAGATGAGCAAGCAGCGCACTCTTCTCTGCCTGACCATCAGAGTGCTAGCTTGCTCTGGGACGTGAAGGTTTTTATGATAGTCTCTGCTGGGACCTGGTCTGGACCACGCTTTGGAACTTGAGTTTCCTCCGCGCTATTTGGCCCTGGAGCTCCAGGTCCATATTGCCGCCAGGTTTTTGAGAGAGGCTGGAGGAGGTTCACTGCCTGTGCATCCAGGTATGTCCCTCATCCCAGGCAGTAGTGGTGCAGTGGACTTAGGCAGGGCGACCCTTCACTTCGTCTGCAGTACAATAGCTACTGGCAGGCTCCTACCAACACTGCACACTTGGGTAGGCGACATTGTGCAGTGCATGTATGGAGACAGTGACAGAATGTTTGCTGAGCTCTCGAAGTCGGACCTTGAATTGGTCCAAGGCCTGCGCGCGATTAAGTTGCAGATTGCTCCGAAATCGGCCATCATCTCCTCGTCCTGAGCGTTGGCCGTGAGACTCAAGGATTTCTTCAGCGGGCAAGGCATCAGCGTGCAAGCCAAGCGAGTAGCAACAAATCTATGTATTGACCGATACCAGGTGAAGGCAACGCGACCCAAGCAGGCCAGCAAGAGGGCTGGCGCCAACCGTAGGTTGCAAAGGCTAGGTAAGCTGGCTGAAGGCAACAGGCTGTGCAAGAAATGGGCGCGACAGCTGGCTTTGACCTCGGAACCCCACCCAGTGTTGTCCTTGGTTGGCGGAGAGCGCTGGGGAGGCTTACTGGGGGAGTCTCTAAGGGGGGTAGGTGCAAGACCACACTTTAGCCCTAGAGTACGGTCGGCGAGACCCAGCCTTCTTTGCGATGTTTGACACGATCGAGGCTTGGTCTCAGATTCTAACCCATGCTAGTTCCGACGTCGAGAAGACGAGGCGAGTCTGGCGTAGAGTCGCAGCAGAGCTGGACCCCAAGACAGCAGGAAACAGATGGCGAGGCGTAGGCACCCCTGTGGCCGCCACGATCGCCACTCTGCTGGATGTGGGTTGGAAACCTCGGGGGCCCTGGGCGTGGGAGCGTGACCTGGCTGAGCGGTTCGCGATCTCAGAAACCAAAGCCGGGCGAGGCAAGGTTGGCCACGCCGATCTCTTCGAGGCCCTGGCCCAGAGCAAGGAACGCCGGCTCTGGGAAGCGGCTGCAGCCAACTCGTGGGAGGGGTCAGGCTT